TTGAGTCCTTGTTCAGAGAAAAACTGCGCAACCGTGGTCTCTATGAAAGCACAAAGCAGCTACAGCGTGCTCTCGACGGCGTGCGAGGTTCGTCGCGGGGCCAAGCGGGGTCGATATCTGCACTCGCTCTTTCAACACCTTCAGTAGTGATCCCACCGCAGAAATATGTGGCAGTGACTCTGAGCTCGTTGTTGTCTGAGCGCGAGCCTCCCATTGTAAGGCGCACTAGCAATCCCGCCAGCCCGCCGGTCATTGGCACCGTTCGCAGAGAATCGAAGCTCCCCTCTCTGGCTCGTCAGCTTATATTTGAGTTGACAAATATGACGGTGAACGGACCCAAACTCCAATACGTCGCTGAGCTCTCTCGCTGCGTGGACGCTTTCGAAAGCCCTGACCCGGCGACCGAGCCGGATTTGGGTCATCCGGCGTACCAACAGGAACCCGATTTTGAAGCCATTCGTTCGGCGCTGTCTCCGCGCTCTCTGTTTGAACGGTTACTGCACAATGCCGGACAATGGCCAACAACCGGACAGCAATGCCTGCTTCACCAGCTATCCCAAGAGCAATGGGCAGTCCTGTCTGAACCGTGGAAGGTTGTCTTCCTTCGATATGCAGAAGGGCTTGGCGGCCAACAGCAACGTCGACGGATTGAAATACTTGGGCGACTTGGACTCGAGACCAGTCAAGAAACTGGTGCGCGTGGAGGCCGTGGTTGGAATCCATCCGCCTACCCAGACTGGCTCTTGGTGCAGCTGGATGCAGATTTGCTCATCCGATCACTGCAAGCAGCTATTGCTGAGCAAATGATGTTCCCTAAAAGCCACAACGCCTTGATGCAGCTTAACATGGGTGAAGGAAAATCTTCGGTGAGTACTGCGTCGTTTCCAGGATATGAAATGAATTTAACGGACGTTCAGGTTATTGTCCCCATTATTTCCTCTGCTCTAGCCAACGGCACACAACTGGTCCGGGTTGTCGTTCTTAAACCCTTGGCTGCTCAAATGTTCCAACTGCTCAAGCAGCGGGTCTGTGGCTTGGCAAATCGTCGTCTATTTTACCTTCCCTTCAGCCGGGATATTCACTTGGACTCCACCAAAATTCAGCAGATTTTTGCGTTGTTCAAAGAATGCGCAGAAAGCGGCGGAATCCTACTGTGCCAACCCGAGCACATTCTATCCTTGAAGCTCAAGGGACTCAATGCCTTGACGCAATCGGAAGACAGCGAAGAAACCCGCATGCTGATGGAAGTCCAAGATTGGTTGAACAACACCGCTCGCGATATCTTGGATGAGAGTGATGAAATCCTCAATGTCCGATATCAGCTGATTTACACAGTCGGCACTTCCCGCCCACTAGAAGGCCGCCCTTGGCGGTGGAATATCACCCAAGCGGTATTCTCGTTACTGCAAGCCGCCGTCAAAACCGTCCCTGATGGTCTGGAGGTCGCTCGAGTTGGCAGGTCATGTCAATTCCCTGCGACGAGGATTCTCACTCGGGAAGGCGGACGAGTTTTGATTGATTCCCTCATCCACAGGATTGTCTTCAAAGACGGTTTCCAAGAATGGATTTCCTTCAGAAACTACTCCGAGGCGGAGAAACACATTGTTTCCCGCTTCCTGCGGCAGCCCTCTGGCGACTCTGAAGATGAACGTGTATTGCGGAATCTTTCGGGAGACCGCTTCAACTATCTTCTTCTTTTGCGCGGCCTGTTCGCGCACGGGATTCTTGATCTCAGCCTTCGAGAGAAACGGTGGCGTGTCGATTACGGCTTGGATCCCCGCCGTTCGATGTTGGCAGTCCCGTATCGAGCCAAAGACAGTCCAGCTCCTCGAGCAGAGTTCGGGCACCCCGACATGATCATCGTTCTTACATGTCTCTCCTACTATTACGGCGGACTGACTGACGACCAGTTGGAAGTGACCTTCCGCCTCCTGATGAACTCGGACAACCCCGAGGCGCAATACGAGGAGTGGGTCAAAGACATTGAGGACCTCCCGGCGACTCTCGCTAACTTGCGCGGCTTGAATCTGGACGATTTCGAGCAGAAGACACAGACAGTCTTCCCCCTTCTGCGCTTCAACAAGGCAGTGGTCGATTTTTACCTCTCGGAGTGTGTTTTTCCGAAAGAGGCGCAGGAGTTCCAGCACAAGCTCACCGCGAACGCCTGGGATCTGGCTCGCAAAACGGAAAAGTCGACTACCGGGTTCAGCGGCACAAACGACAACAAGTACCTCTTACCTCTTTCCATCGAGCAGCGCGATCAGCCCCCACAGCTACACACCAACGCCCAGGTCCTCGATTACATCTTGCAGGAGGAGAATCGCGCGGTCTTCTATACCGACTGCAACGACGTGTTGGGCCTTCTGCGGTGTGTGGTTCAGCAGGACCCACCTGTGATGGTCCTTCTCGACGTCGGCGCACAGGTCTTGGAGCTTCAGAATGTCGACGTTGCACGAGAGTGGCTCAATCTTGACCACCGCGGCAGTGTCGAAGCCGCCGTGTATTTCGATCCAAGCACGGACGAGATCCGCGTAATTTCGCGCAATGGACGCATCCAGCCGTTTGCGAGCTCGCTGTACAAAAAGCAGCTCGAGAAGACGCTCGTCTATCTCGATGAGGCGCATACCCGCGGGACCGACTTCAAGTTCCCTCCGGGATCGCGTGCCGTCGTGACGCTGGGTCCGAGGTTAACGAAGGACAAGCTGGTTCAAGGTACGCGCTTTGATTGCTGTAATATTTATCTAATCAAATTTGACAGGTTGTATGCGAATGCGAAGACTGGGGAAAGACCACTCGGTCTTGTTCTTTGCTTCAGCGGAAATTCGGACCAAGATCACTGCGACAACCGGGGTGAAAGGCAAGATTGACTCGATGCACGTCCTGCTCTGGACGATCCATGAGACATGCGTACAGATCCGCGACAATGGTGCGCTCTGGGCAAACCAAGGTTTGAATTTCGATGCCCGCACTACCGCTTTGGAGCAGTACCGCGCCGGTGGCTCCTATGACACCGCTGTCGCTGCTCTACAAGAACGAGAATCCCGCACACTGGAGGAGCTCTATGGTGTTGCGGCACGGTGTCGAACCGAGGAGACGGGGACTTCGCTAACTCAGCTGCAATCTGCGATCATGGACAAGCGTCAAAAACTCGGAATCGCACCGTCGGACACTGCCCTTTCGGAAGAACAGGAACGAGAGCTCGCGCACGAGAAGGAAGATGAACGAGAAGTGGAACGTGTTGCGCCGGCAAAGGCAGCTCTTCATCACGCAGACGATCTTCGCCGCTTCATCACGACTGGCACTATCGGTCAACCCAACCGCTTCATTTCCCTCGAGAATTGTTTGACCAACACTTCTTGGATCTCCCTCCTGCCACCCGGGAAGACCTTTCGGGGCAGTAAACTGCTTGCGACGAAAGACTTCCGGGACACCATAATTTTACCCAGGCAGTCCGCTGGCTCAATGGACCAATACCTCCGGGCCGTTCAATGGGTCATGTCGTCCAAATCATCCGACGTCTTGATCCTAGTGAGCCCTTTCGAGGCAAACGAATGGTTGCCAGAAGTTCGCCGTTCCAAATTCGCTTATCTTCATCTTTATTCTCCTCGCATATCCCGCAACACATTTTGGCCGATGGACAAGCTGGATTCGTTCACCGTTCCCGCCGAACGCTCCGACCCAATTGATGAACGCTCACTCCACGAGCTCAACCTTTTCGCAGGTCAACTGTTCTGCGCGAACAAAAGTTCCATGCAAGCAGCTTGCGATATCCTCGGGCTCCACTTCAAATCTGTGAGCGACCGACCAGAACTGCTGGGAATGATAGATTCTTCGGGCTTTGTGCAGACCCAACGGGCTCGCGCGGCGCTTGGGATTCAGGGATGTTCATTCACCTCCACCCCGCTCCCATTCTTCAGGGAACTAGTCGGAGCGCGACGCAAGGGTCAAGGTTTCGCCCTGACGCATATGGGGCAAATCCTTCGTGGAAACGAACCCAAGGATCCAAGCTTCGAGGGGGATGCGAGGGTTACGGTAGCGGATAATTGAGGTGAGAAACCCGCTCGTGAATTTGTATTTGCTCATTCATTTGAACTGCAGACGAACACGAGGGTTGAGGCGATAATGCATTCTGTACTAGTAATACTGTTCAATATACTTGTTTCATTTCGATGCAGGCAAAGCAAAGTGATACATATGGGCAGACAGGGTCTTGTGCAAGATGGACCCCATCGCTATGAGCTCGATGCGTAGGTGCGCGTTTGAGTTTTCGTGAGGAGGCAAAGAGCGTCTGGGAAGACTGGAGGTGAAAGGTATCGGAGGAACGGAAGCGACGGACTAGTACAACAAACTGGGTAGTTGGACGTCGTAGCATCGGGGCACAGATCGCGGTACGGTCCGTGCAAACATCCATGTCCGCCCATGAGGGAAGAGCCCACGAATAGTGTGCGCAAGCACAAGACGGACCAGAATGGTCTCGTGCATAAGGGAGAAAGAAGGAAGCTTTGAAACGACGCGAGGAGTCGAGGGTGGACGGAGCCCGTGGTGCAAACGCGACACCGACGACGCACAAGGAGCGGGGTACAAAGGGAGGAGAAAGACTGAAAGGTGTCAACCACAAAGGATGCGCACATGCGCATGTAAATAGGAAGGACGCAATTAAAAGACCAGCACCCGCCCCGCCGACGTCTCCATGCGCGTTACTTTCGAGTTGCGGATGTGAAAGGTGGAGAACATACAATGGATCCACACCCGATAACCCCAAAGCGTCCGCGCGTGTCCTCCGCATCTGGTACTTAGGATCCAGCAGGGCAGGTGAAAGTCTGGATCGACGCGGTAATAAGTGCAGCGGTAGATGGTCAAATCATTTCTTTTAGGTGGAGAGGCTTCAAGGCGCTCGGGGTCCTCCTTTGCGATGCCCGAAGCCTGTCTCACCACACGCTTACGCCCCTCTAATTCATTGATTTGGCCGGTATGTACTGGCCGTTCAACGGGTATGTATTGGCCGTCTAGCTCAGTTGGTTAGAGCGTCGTGCTAATACGCTTACGTAACTGTAAACGGGTGACGCGAAGGTCTTGGGTTCGACCCCCACGATGGCCATCGATTGCTTTTTCTCCCTTTTGTGCACTAAGTCCGATAGGGGCGTCGGGACTTGTGCTCTTTTTCCTCTGCGACTGTTGTCGTCAACGCATTTATGCTCCACAGATAACATTGCATATGCTATACAAATGAGTGTACTTAATAGTAATAAAATACAGATGATGCATGTGAGGTGAATAAATAACCGAGCCCGCACTATCATGAATGTGAGCGATAGGCAGTCGTGGGTCGTAGTTGGGGTGAATGGGGAGGTGACGAGGAACTAAAGTATGTGGTTGTAGAAGGACTCGCCAACGACCCTGGAAGATACAGCGGTATAGTTGGAATAAGCTCAAAGACATGCTGGACAACAGCTCGAGGAGCTGGTCGCCCAGGTTGAGCTGGCGGCTCCGGAGCATTCATGACGCCATGCACCCTCGCGTCTTGGAGGACACCGTTACGGTGGTCGGCCAAATTCTGCTCGTTGCTATTGGAAGCCTGGCCGCGGCCATCCCATAGACAATGCATGTCATTTCCGGGAATGATCTGCGCGAGCCGCCCCGTCTCGACGTCGCGGACCTCGATGAATCGAGTGTCGAAGAGGAGGATGTAGGGGGCATGGAAAGCAACCCGCTCGGCGGTTCCTACGAAAAGATTAAGCAAGTCGCCTTGTAGCGACATGGAAACTCACCCTCCCATTCAACAGTGCCCACGGGCCTGCTGGGACTAGGGTCACCGTGCTTGTTGACATACAGGCCAAATTCTGGACAAAGTTGAGCGTCGTTCTCATTGCGCAAAGAAAAAGGTGGTACCGTTGTAGACCAAGAGGAACTCCTCGTCCGTGGATCGGAACATGCCCATGGGACGGCATGCTTCACACCGTTTAGCGAGATTGGCAAGCCGTGGATCTTCCCGCTGCGGTATCGTTACGCTTTTGAAACTACGGCAAAGTTAGCGTAACCCGACCACGGCAACAACAAACATACTCGAGCAAGTCCATGATCTCAAAGCCTTTGGTGCATAGGATGGCAATTCGGGCTTTCAAGAACATGACGTCGAATGATTCACACGGCAAGAAAAAGTCTCGATAGGGACGGAACCAGTCGGATTTCGGTTGCCGGAAACCGAAACGACTTCCTATTCCTGCAGGCGCTTTGGCTCTCTCGTTGATCTTGTCGATGATGGGCTCGACGACGTGGAAGATGCTGTCGACCTGAATTAACTGTAAGTATGTGTGGGCAGGGATATATCAAACGGCTCACATTTTTTCGCTTCATAAATATGACGAGGGTCCGTCCGAGCAGCGAACCGACACTGAAAAATTGGACGTTGCCGTTCAATTTCTGCGGTGTCTGAGTGGCATTCGCACTTTGAGGCGATGATGGCACCAAAGCCTCGATGTGATATGCAAAGAGTGACTGGAAAGAAATCGGCAACGTGGCTTGACGCAACCAAGACGACCAACCTTGTCTGCCAGGACGAGGAAAATACCAAAGTCCTCGAGCATCGCGCATTGTGTCACCATTTTCAGATGGAGGACGCGCCGCATTGCTGCAAAGAGTTAATTAGACCGACTAGGCCGAAAACAACCCATACTTACACCGTGAATCGTGGCGGAAGCCAATCCACACGCCCTCCGCACACCCAATGGCAACCAGTCCTCGCCCGTCTGTGGTGTCTGCATAAAGGTATGAGCATCGCACAAGAACGAGAACCGAAAGACATACTGAATGGTACAGAGCACGTCACTCTGCCAGTCAATGAATTCTCGTGGTACGCGGGGGCAGTGGCCGGCGTAACAAGGGACGGGATCAAGAAGGTGTCGGTACTGAGCATTTCGAGTTCAAACACCTTGTTCGACTCCTGCACGACGCGCCGCAACCCGAGCGCCTCCTCCAGCTTCTGCTGCCACTCTGCCCGGGCCGGCGCAGATTCTGCGTACAGAATATGCGACCCCCCAACCCGCGCATTGTGGTGGAGGGTGCACGGGTACACGGAGCGTGAATCCGTCGGACCTTCAACGACTCCTCCCCCAGCACTGTCTCCACCGGGAAATCGGTCGCCACGCAGATTGCGGAGGAGGCCAGTTCCGCGTTGGGTTGGTGGATCGGTAAAATTAACCAGCGTCAGCAAATCAAGGGGAATGGGCTATGTTTCAGAATCAGCTCAAATCTATCTTGAGTAACGACGCAACAAACTCTTTTGACAACGTTGTACTTGATGACACCATCCTTTTCTTTAGGTTTAGTCATCACCACTGCGATATTATGAAGATGAGGTCGACAGAAGGAAAATGAAATCACTGACGATAGTTGTCGAACAGCAACACATAGAGCTCGTTCCACGTCCGCCCGCTCTCGGGCTGCCTCAACAACTTCCCCGCGTAAATCAACGACCGATTTTCGTCCAGAAGATCCATGTCCTGAAGCAGTCCGTCAGTACAGGCCGTTCATTCAACATGAAAAAACATACAATCCACTCGCCGGGCTTGAATACGATATTCGAGTTGTACCGCCACAGCTCGACCTTCTGTTTCGCCGAGCCCACCCCAGGCTCGCTCTCCTTCCCGAGCGCCTTGATAATCTCGAGCAGCTGGGGAATCGAGTACCGATCGCTGTGGTCAACAGGCGTCTCATCCAGAATACCCTTCAAGAGAAGCTCGTAACGCAGGAGCCGCGGAATCGGGCGGTTGATGAAATTCTTCATGTCCAGCCGGTGCGCGTCGGGGTGGCGGATGGATATCTATTGCGGTGTTGAATCATCAAACAAGTTCAGAGGCGGTGAACGCACCTCCACAAACGCCTTGAAGGCGTGGTTGTTGGCCATCTCGTCGTCGATGCGATATGCCGCGATGGGATAGTTGGGGATGTAATCGAGATACGCCTCGCGGAAATTGAGTGCCGCGTCGAGAACAGGCTCGGTGATGCTCCGTATCCGCGGATGCTGCTCACGCTGGATCTCATGCAGCTTCTCGACGAGCGCGCGGTGGTGCGCATGGAGGTGCGAGAAGTTGTGGAACACGTCCTTGATGAACTGGTCCAGACGGTCCGGGGGGACGATAGGTGGGTCGGCGTTCCGGAGGGGACGTATGTACATCTTTAGAAAAAGATGTGAGCCTGCAAAGTCGTTCAGTCGAGCACACTTACGATCTCGATGTTCTCCAAATCCTTCACATACGCCATCTCGCCCTTGATTAGCTCAAAGATGATCCTATTCAATATCAGCATCCCACAAGATCGAGAAGCAGAAATAAACTCACGACTGCCTCTTGGCCTCTTCCTTCCTCATCTCCTGCCTCACATCCGCTGCGACCAAATCGTGCCACTCCCACTTGCCCGGGATCCCTTTGCCCATGGCGGTCTGGAACGTCCGCAGCTGCGCGACGCTCTGCAGGTTCTTGATCGCGCCGATCGCCTCGAGCAGATAATCCGCGTCAGGATTCCCGACCGCCGTCTCGTGGTAGATCGCCTCGAGGAGTACGGGGTACTTTTGAAGGTGCTCCGAGGGTCGATTCAAAAAGTGCTTCAGATCCATACGCGCACCCGTGCGGGCCGACTGCCGCGAGCAGCGCTGGAACGCCTTCAGCCACATAAACTGTTTAAAACGCCATTGACACACCTCAATGAACAGCCTGAACTGCGGGTTGGCATCCAGTTCCTCCTTCATCCTCTTCTCCGCCAGTGGATGGTGTCCGACATAAATCGGGTACGCCAGCCGAAACTCCGTCGCTGCGTCCAAAAAGATGTCTCCAATCCTTTGGATGACCGGCGCCTGCTCCCGCTGCCGCACGTATACCACCTCTAGCAGTCGCCGGTTGCACTCCCGAAGATCGAGGATATTGCCAAAGACCTCGTCGATAAAATCCTCGAGCTTGTTGCCGGCGATCACGGGCGGATTCGCCGCACGGAGCGGCCGAATGAAGATGGACTCGACGATATCGAGGTCTTGTAGGTATTGCTCCTCCTTGCTGATGAGTTTGTGGATGATACTGTCGACGATGGTGAGGATCGCCGTAATGGTAGCAAAATAAGAACGCACGTCTGGCGGTTAATCTCGCTGTCTGGAAGCGACACAATAACCTCTCGCGGCACCGTCTTAATCCACGCCTCCCTCACAGGCCCGACCGGTGCCTCCGCCGGCCCAGGTATCTGGGCAATGATGGAATTACCTCGACTCGGGCACGAGAACGAATAGCACGGTACACCCTCCCCACAGCTTGGCGAGTAGCACTTGGTCAACATCGTAACAACCGCGGTGGGCAGTTCCTCTCTGTCGGGTGCAGCGTCACTCGGGCCCTCAAGATCATCCAAAAACATGTACACATCCTCCACCCCGTCCTGGAGGACGCGCCCGCCCCACTCGACCTCGTAGAAGAACAGCTGGCTCTGTAAACTACGCGCGACTTGCAGCGCCGCGCGGCGATCGTTGGTGGAGATACCGTGGTTGATCGCCAGGTCGCGTTGGATTTGAGACTGAATGGTGGTCACGACGTCCTTGCCCGTGAAGGCGCGGGGGTACGGAATGCTGCCCTTGACGTGTGTCCCGCGCGGTACTTTGTCGCGGAACTGCACAGCGACGTGCGAGAGGAGCGAAAAGTTGATAAAGCGCGTCTCGTCGTCCTCTTCTTCCTCGTCCCAATATTCGTCCTCCTCTGCCTCGTCGTGTAGCTCGAGCGGTCGTCGCTCGTTTTCGTTATAGTTGGAAATAACCTGGAGCAGTCCTGTTGGGCTGCGCGAGAGGTTGCTTGGGCCCGCGACGTTAGGGGGAGACTCGCCGAATGAGAAGAAGGGGTCAGCGCGGGGGTCCTCAGGGTATGAGTATGAATCTTCGTGGTAGCCATTCGTATCGTATCCATTTGTAGCATTTCCGTTTGTACCATACCCATTCGTGTACTCATTTCCGTTCGGAGGAGGATGATAGCCATTGGGGGTGGAATCTGCAAAGTAATTAAAACTGTAACTATATATATCGAAAACGACGCACATGCAGGCCCTGCCGAACTCTGCTGTGGAGAAATGTTG